TTTTTAACGATGGTGGAGCCACGCGGCAGTTTTTGCTATTGCACGTATGGGCCGGCGCGAGCCGGGTTGGTACCACGACTTCACAGAATACCGGCGTGAAGTAGAAGCTCTGCTTCTGCGTTTCATCTGGTGAGTACAGGTGGCCGGAGGCCCAATCCCCCCCCCCCCCATCAACATGGTAGCGAAATTACATCAAAGACTACCCCAGGAGGAGGGTACCAGCACCCCTGGAGAATCCCTAGCTGAGCATCCACGACCATGTTATTCCACTCCTGAGCGTAGGTGCTCAGGCTGCCCCGCGTTTTCTGTGAGGGGGGAGGGGGGCGCAAAATTCAGCTCAAAAAAATAACTGCTCGGGGCAAACTGAGCAACAATACCAAGGCGACCTCTGCCACGCTATCCGTGAATTTCTGCAACATCAGGGGACTTCATTCGAACCTAAATGCCGTCCACTACCATCTCGAGACGGCGAAGCCGGCCTTGCTCTTTCTGACCGAGACGCAGGTGTCCTCTCCGGCTGATACTTCGTATCTCTCCTACCCGGGGTACAAATTGGAGCACTACTTTATGCCTCGGGCTGGAGTTTGCTTATACGTCAGAGAGGACATCTGTTCTCGACGCCTGGGCAGTCTTGAAGGTTCGGACCTGTTCATCCTTTGGCTACGCGTAGACAGCGACGACCATCCGCGCGTTTACGGGTGCTACTATAGGTCCCATAGCGGTAATGCCGAAACAGACTGACTCATCGACCACGTCCAAATGGCTACAGATTCCTTGCTACAACAGGTCCCAACCGCAGAGATCGTGATACTTGGCGATTTTAACGCTCACCACGCCGAATGGCTCGGTTCACGTTTAACTGATCATGCGGGGAGATCTGTTATGACTTTGCTTTGGCATATGTTCTGACACAACTGGTTACTTCGCCTACGCGGATTCCAGATGTGGAGGATCATACACCTTCCCTATTGGACCTTCTGCTGACCTCTCATCCGAACGGATATCAGGTTTCCGTCGATGCCCCTCTCGGCTCTTCGGACCATTGTCTGATCCCGAGTGTGGTGCCAGTCACGCTCCCCTCGCGGTTGCGTTCTGCAGGTTGCCGCGTGTTTGTCATTGCAGGTCGGCGGATTGGGACGGAATGCGGTCTTTCTTTGCATCCTACTCATGGGGGCGGGTTTGCTTCTCGCCGGATGATCCCAGCGCTGTTGCTGACTCTGTCGCTGATGTGGTGCTACAGGGAATGGAACTATTTATTCCATCATCTGTGGTACCCATCGGAGGCAGATCTCAGCCTTGGTTTGGTCGCTCCTGTAAAACTGTAGTACGCAGTAATGTTACTGATAACAACAAGCCCCAGCCCAGGCCTGACCTGGGCTGGAGCTTCTGCAGCTCAGGGTGTAAACACCAGCGTGCTTACAAGGAAGTATAACTTCGCCTACAGGTCCTTTAAAAGAGTTATTGCCAAGGCAAAGTCAGAGCACATAGGCAGAATTGGCGAGAAACGAGTTCGCCTTCCTTCGGGAACCCGTTTATTCTGGTCTCTCGCGAAGGCTGCCCAAGGGAATTTCTGTAAGCCATCACTACCATCTCTGCACAGGGAGGACGACTCACTGGTCCACGCCGCAAAAGAGAAAGCCGACCTTTTAGGCTCCCTTTTTGCCTCCAACTCGACTCTTGATGGCGGGGGGAACACACCGCCGACCATCCCGCGGTGTGAGTGCTCCATGCCGGATGTTCGTTTCTCACAGCGCTCGGTTCGCAAAGCACTCATCTCCCTGGACATCCACAAGTCGAGTGGGCCTGACGGAATCCCCCCAATTGTACTGAGGACGTGTGCTCCGGAGTTGGCACCGGTTCTAACGCGTTTTTTCCAGTACTCCTACTCCCTAGGCGTAGTCCCGAAATCATGGAAGACAGCTTTTGTCCACCCGATCCCTAAAAAAGGCGACCGCTCAGACCGGTCCAACTACAGGCCTATCGCCATAACCTCCTTGTTCTCCAAAATGATGGAATCCATTATTAACTGCCAGCTCATGCGGTACCTTGAGTATCACCTGCTGATTAGTGATCGCCAATACGGTTTTCGTCGGGGTCGATCAGCTGGTGATCTTCTGATCTACCTGCCTCATAGATAGGCGGAGGCAGTAGAGTCCAAGGGGTAGGCGTTGGCCGTTAGTTTGGATATTGCGAAGGCCTTCGATCGGGTTTCGCACAAAGCGCTTCTTTCGAAGCTCTCTTCCTATGGGCTTCCCGAGAAATTGTGCAATTGGATCACCAGCTTTCTTGCATATCGCAGCATCAAGGTCGTTGTTGACGGTGAATGCTCCGACTATAAGCCTATTAAAGCTCGTGTTCCACAAGGCTATGTGCTATCACCAACGCTGTTTCTTCTGCATATCAATGATATGTTGCAAACTGGTAACATTTATTGCTATGCGGATAACAGCACTGGTGATGCTCTATACACCAGCCGTGCCAAAATTTCTCGGGAAAACGTCGCCGAGTACCGGAACAAACTTGTGTCTGAAGTCGAGTCTTTGCTGAACAAAGTCTCGAATTGGGGGCAACTAAATCTAGTCCAGTTTAATACTCAGAAGACACAAGTTTGCACGTTTACCGGTAAAAAGAACCCCTTTGTCGTATCTCCTCAGTTTCAAGGCACTCCCTTTGTTGCCTCAGCCAGTATCGGAATCCTCGGCGTCGACATATCGAGTGACCTGCAGTTTCGTGGTCACTTGGAAGAGAAGGCCAAATTGGCCTCTAAAAAGCTTGGCGTGCTCAGCGGAGCGGGACAGTATTTCATGCCGGCACACCGCCTGCAACTTTACAAGGCGCAGGTTCGGCCTCACATGGAGTACTGTTCGCATCTCTGGGCAGGGGCTCCCCAGTGCCAGCTCCTTCCACTTGACCGCATCCAGCGCAGAGCAGCTCGAATCGTCGACGACCGAGTCCTTTCCGATCGGTTCGATTCATTGGCACTGCGAAGAGATGTTGCATCCCTTTGCATTTTCTTTCGCAGTTACCACGGGGAGTGCTCTGAGGAATTTTTTGAATTAATCCCAGTCGCCAAATTTCACGAACGCACATCGCGGCAGAACTCCCGATACCATCCACACCATCTGGATGATTGGCGGTCCACCACTGTGCGATTTAGAAGATGTTTTCTTCCTCGAACAACTTCCTTGTAGAATCGATTACCATCAGCGATTTTTCCGGACCGATACGATTCAGGGACCTTCAAGAAAAGAGCTTACACCTTTTTAAAAGGCCGGCAACGCATCTGCAATTCCCCTGGTGTTACAGTTGTTCATGGGTGGCGGTAGTCACTTACCATCAGGTGAATCGCATGCTCGTTTGGGCCCTCTCCTAAAAAAAAGGCTGCCATCCACAAGTTAAGAAAAGTTGCCAAGCCCTACAAATTTCAAATTCACAAAATATCCATAAATGAAGGCAGTAGGCACGAATTACTTGCAAAATAATGTATATTTTGCTCCGGATAAATCTTCAGAAAATGCAGTTAGAGCGAGTTATAACGATTTTTAAAGTGACACGACTTGCGTGTCGTATGCCACACAGAAAAAAATCCGCAATGAATCAGTTAAAACAGTAGATAGGCAGCTCAAAAAAATTAAAAAAACTGAGGCTTCCAACCTGCCTGCCAAGTGTGGCAACTATGGCAATCTATAGTAGAGGTCTATGTTCAGCAGTGGACTTTTATAGGCTGTTTTAGATGAATGGATGGAATGGAATAAAACTGTAATAGGTTATCTGCCAGTAATCAGCAGGGTGCACCATTTGCTGGTTACACATTTCAAATGTACATTTAATGCAAAAACCATAATAAATCTTTAAAGCATTATTACCATGACTTAAAATTTATTTTTGCCATATAGTGGTGGTATGAGAATCCACTAGCCCATATTATCCCACGGGTGTTATAAGAGGCGACAGATAGTAGTGAGTAATGATATAGGAGCTAGTAGGATTTTTCTGATAATAACTCCAAATAATAAAAACTTAAATTGCCGATTCTGGGTTATTCCATTTATTCACCCTAAATTATCCATCTTAGGGTGGATACTCAGACGTGCGTGTTCATCTATCCACCCCAGATGGGGTGGATACTCAGAATTCACTTTTATTTGTTCTTCCGACTTCACCCTAAGTACAGTTCAACTCATATACTTTAATTAGTAATAAATTTTTAATAACTACAAACACAAACAAACATCATAATACATATTGCCATTACTGTTACCGTTACAGCTTATTAAAGTCCTTGCATTACATATTGCATTTAAATCAAATTTAATGTCATTTTAAATAATATTATTTTGTAATTTATAAATTCTGCAATATGTCCAGGAAATCACAATCTCTAATTTCATTATTGAGTAGATTTAATTTTATATCCTGGATAAATTTATCACTTTTAATATACATTTGCAATAGTTTTCTAAATTTCTTTGCTACAACAGATGTGTGTTTCTTTGCTACAAAATGTGCGTTTTTTTGCAAGCATTCTAAAAACATTACTTTTCATGTTGTCTCTAACTTCATTTTAAATTGTTTTATGCCAAGATTCCAATGAATCTATAATCCTGTAAGGCACTCCTTTTATTTCAGCGTTGTCCTTTCAAATAGGAAGTATGTATATACATATTTTATAGGTATGCTAATCTACTAAGTATCTTGGGCCAGTTTATTATAATTTTTTTATAAACGACTGTACATAGCCGAGGGAGAAAATCTGAAGAAGAATTTATATACGAATTTGGAATATCCACCCCGTCTGCGGGTGGATAGTTGAACACGCATTTCCCCCTAGGGTAGATGAACAGAATAACCCCTGATTCCTCTTTCAAGCATGGTAAATATGGCAAATTCCTTCCTATTAGGCAAACTACATGGTAACCCTTGGTTAGCAGTGAATTTTTGAGGCTGCAATGATGATGTTGAATAATTATAAATACAAAATCTATTCTTAATACAAAAACTTATTCACTATCAGAGTTCTCTGCTAACACTACCCTTTGGATACTTCTGGGGTCAAAAGTACTTTCAAAACATCTTTGGAACACTGATTTTATCATTGTTCTTGATGTGGGAGAAGCTGGTATATTGTCACAGTCCATAGCACTCATCACAGAATTATTTACACATGTTTTTTCGGAATTAACAATATTATCACAGTTATTTTTATCAACTATATCACAAGGAATATCTACAAAGTTAAAAAGGTGTGAATCTTCATCAAGACATTTAGAGACCTCCATATCTAAATGCAGTTTTTTACTTGCAGATCCCTGTTCAAGATTTGAATCTTTTCTCTTACTCTTTTCAACTCTGGAACTATTCTGTGTTGAGGTTCCTTGGGTTACATTATCAGGTTTAGAAGTAGCTAGAACAAAATGTGCTTCAATTGTTGAACCATTGTGGATTATAAATACTACAGGCTTACCCGTTGATTCAAACTGTAATTGTATAGGTAAGCTCAGAGCTTCTGCAAATGCCAATAATGCCTTAAATTCTTTCATTGTAAATGTAATTATTGTTTCAAAGCCTATTATATAACTGTCAAACTCTACTGATCTAATATTAATTTGTGTCCGTATAATTTTAGATAAGTCAACATTTGCATCAATATAGTTACGAAGTAATACTGATTGTGCCAGAGCTTCTAATGTGACCTGGTCATCTGAATTTTGAAAATTGCCAATAGCCTCTGACAGAATCCTCTGTGATGATGTTATTCTGAAATCAAAGGTTTTATTTTATTTTCATAACCCATGCATAATCTTCATGTTTTAAGATTTACTTACCTGTTAGGTACTAAATCTTTTGTATACACAGCTTCCATTGCTTTACTGTCTAAGATGGATATAAAATGTGTTTTTACAATTCCATGTTTACATTTGAATTGGAAAATCAGTTTACATTGCTCAGGATCCAGTTTTATTTCTAAATTTTCCACTTGTTTGTCCATATGTGCAGGAGACTTAAAACAGTTTAAAGCAGATTTCATAGATATTTTGCATTTTAATCCTTCATTATCTTCAGTTGAGTAGTAGTTATAATTAAAATATGAAAAAAAATTTCTATTGAACTTAAGCATGGCGTACGCAGATTCTGAGGCGTTAAGAGTTCGTAGAAGAATACAATCGGCGAGAGATTCCAAATACAACTCATCTCCAAATCTGGCTAAAGCGTGTATAGTTCTTCCTAAAACTGAACATTATTCTGGTGTTAAAGATTAGTTGTAAAGGAATTAATAAGTTTCATAATTAGATTCACCTTTAACATTAGGACCAGGCACATGACATTTCATATTGTTGAAATTCGTATGTATTATATATTACTTATATATATTTACTTTCTTTTAGTACTTTTTGGTAAAAATACAGCTGAGCTGACTGAGCTTTCCCGGCTTAGTTTTAGTTTTAGTTTTTAGTTTGAAAATTTGACATTGACATTTGACTTTTTTCTTTGGGTAAGGTTGGTACTCAAACTCATTTTTTAAAGATTATTAGCTTGGATACTTTTCTTTTAAGCCACGTCTTCATTTATCTCAGCATCAAGTGATAACAATCCTATAAAGTATACTACTTCACAATATATTGATGCGTCACTATTATCAGGAGCGCGTCATTATAGGAGCATTTGTTTCACGGTTTCCACTAATAGTTCATTTGCGCAAATATTAAATACTACAAAATCACACCACTCTTACATATTATTATTATGTGGGGTATTTGTATCATTTTCTCATCTGGTTGGGCTGTCTAAATATATAATTGTAAATGAAAATGATTAACATAGATAAATATCAATAAAATAAAATAAATACACAAAATAATACATAAATAAATAAAAACCCAACCAGATGGAAGCCCTCAGCAGGGGAGACCAAACGGCTGAGAGTTAGGGGGAAAGGGAAAGAAACCGGCGGACGATGCGGGCGGTATCGAGGAGCACCGCCTTCTGCATTTGAGCTTGGAGCGATCCGTCACGGAGTCCCAGTCGCCTCAGAGGACCCGAGAGGCTGACTGGGAAAAACCCGTTCGCAGAAACGACTACAGGTATAATTTCGGTCGGCAGTCCACCCCACATGTCGGACATTTCGCAAGCCAGATCCAGATATTTTGTTCGCTTATCTGTTTCGGCTTCCACGAGGTTCTCGTCATACGGAATGGTAATGTCGACCAAAAATGTCCTTGACTGTGCCCGGTTCATCAGCACAATATCAGGCTTATTCGCAAGAATGGTCCTGTCTGTGATAATGGCCCGGTCCCAGTAGAGCCTGGCGCGCTCATTTACGAGCACGGCTTCCGGCGTGTACTTATAATACGGCAGTTTCCGATCCACGTGACCGTATTTCAGAGCGAGCTCCTGGTGTAGAATCATGGCTACAAGGTTGTGCCTATGCAAGTACTCAGAGTTAGAAAGCTCCGAAAAACCAGAGATAACATGCCTTAGTGATTCACCGGTATGGCGACAAGCTCTACAAATGTCGACGGTGCTATCCCTTAGAATGTATCTCCGATAGTCGTTGGTCTTAATAACGTGATCCTGTATTGCACAGACAAAACCCTCGGTTTCCCCGAAGAGGTCACCAAAACGTAGCCGGTGGAGGGAGGCAACTGTGTATACGAAAGGCTCATGTAGAGCCTTGTAGAACCTCCCGTGGAGCTCCTTCTCCTTCCATGCGGTCTCCCAGTCGGAAATGCTCTGTACTGCCGGGTCTTGCCATTGCTCGCTGGCTAAGGATAGAGGGGTAAGTCCTTTATCACAAGAAATAACGACCCTATAGAATGGATCATCCGCTCTCGTCAGAAAGTAGTTACGGAGTAAGCGCGCTTAAAAAGCCGCATCCACCATGCTTTCGCGGCAAGTACAGCCTCATTACTGACGATCTCAGATGATTCATCCTGTGGGACGTCATAATAGTACGGACTTTTCTCTTCAGAGCGTTCAGTTCGGTCTGAGTCCACCTGAGTATGCTAAAGGTATACATGAGAACAGGCATGATCCAACCGTTATATGTGTGTGTCTTATTAACGCTCGATAAAAGACTGTTAAGCACTTTTGTCCAGCGTGCATAAAACACATCGCAAACTGACTGTTTCATGTCCGTCTCATCGATACCTATGTTCTGTGACATATCCAGGTATCGGTATGTTTTAACCTCGGATAGGGTCTTTATATTGATGGGCATAGATAAGTCTATGCCCTCAAAGTTAGTAACCCTACCCCTTTCGACGTGAAGGACCGAACACTTATCCGTCCCCAGCTCCATTCTAATACCCCATACACTGCCCAAGAAAGTCTCGAACTGTACAGTCAACCTTGTACAGCTTGAGGATCCTCTTAAGCCATGTACGAGGCACCGAGTCGAATGACTTTTTGTAGTCTATCCAGACGGCGGAGAGGTTCTGACGGTTGTGTTTAACCACCTTGCCAATGACCGCGTCAATGAGGAATGGTTCCTTGGTTCCACGACCACTGCCCCGACATCCATTTTGAGCGCGCGACATTACCAGATTTGAGTTCAGGTGACGAGTGAATCTCGCGCTCAAAATGGATTTTAGTGTCTTGTATATGGTAGGTAGACACGTTATAGGGCGGTATTTGCTCGGGTTTGTGGAATCTCAGTCTTTAGAAACCAAATGAGTGATCCCAGTAGTGAAGAGGCTTGGGAGTGACTTTTGGTCGAGAGCCTCTTGAAACTGTTGAGCTAGCACAGCGTGACACACTACGAGCCCCTTCAGCCAGTAGTGATGCAGTCCATCGAGTCCTGGACTTTTCCAGTTCGGGGCCCTACGGGCCGCCTCAGCTACGTCATCCGGCGTTATGATGACGGGGTCCATGGGCGTAACATTCGCACACTGACTCGCCACAACTTCCGTCCAAGGGCCCTTGCTGTGGTTTACCGGCTCTGACCATAGGCCGCGCTAGAATGCGACAGTGTCGGCCTGATTCGGTGCTGGCCCTGTTCCACGTATCATTCGCCCCTCCAATGATTTATAGAGCCTCTTCTGATCACTCTGGAAGAGACAATTCTGGTTGAACCGTGTCAACCTCTCGGTATATCATCGAAACCGCTTCCCCCAAGCAGCGATTCTCTGCTTCAGGTCGTCTATGCGCTCCGTTAGTTTTTGCGTTATATCCGGCTGGGACAAACTGATATTTGTCCCAGCAAACGCCTATTCTTGGCCTATTATTGCCCGACCTGAAGCTTATCAATCTGCCGATGAGGGCCCTTGCCTTTGCGACGCGGTACTCAATCCTTCTTCTTCAGGCTGGGATAGCACTAAATTGCCTAGAAGTGCGTCTAGTCGTGGGAATTTTGGCGCCAATAATACGGCAATCTGCCAGTGCGGCACCAAAAAGAATTGAGTCCGTGTCGCAAAGGTCTCGGCTGGCTTCCAAATAGGTCACCAGCATTGGGTTGAGAGCCCTCACGACAGCCCGATTCCGCTTACTTAAGGGCATGCGGGGAAGTCGCGGTCGATTTTCGAGAGCGCGTTTCCTAAATAGCCTCTTCCAATATTCTCCTCATTTGCTCTAGTTTGTGAGAGACTATTTTATCACCGTCTGAATCAACTACAACTGGAATATCCATTTGGGCATCCACGTGAGCAGGTTGCTCTGCAATTAGTGGCGTCGCATTACCAGCTGTAGCATTTTTATCCGATGCATGAACAGCCTCACGTCGTAGTCGTTAAAGTTCGGCATCACCAAATATGTTGGAGCGCAGGATGTACCGAACTCGGTCTGCCAGGTTTTGCTCCGTTACATGAACATAGACTCCAGCTCTGCGAAAGATGGATCCGAGCCCGATACGCTAAAATTCCAGTTTCTTCCCCTTTTGCCCTAAAATACGCTCGTAATGCGTTTGCGTTCATAATTTTCGTCCAACGCATGCGACGTGTTCAACCAGCGGCCGGTGCCGCTTACTGAGTCTGAGAGGACCCAGCCGACACCAAGCCAAGGTGGGGATGATGGATGCGGACGGCTGTTAGGTGGTCTTGCAGCGCTTGGCTGGCGATACGCATGCTGTCGTATCCAGCACCAGCTCCAGATGCGCCCTGGCGACCTCCAGGCAGCGGTCCTTTGCACACTCTTTATTATTATTATTATTTATTCATTATTCAGGTAATTACACCCACTTTGTTAGTATACTTAAAACTAGGGTTTAATAAATTTACAGAATAGTACAAAACTTGTTTATACATTACCAAAATGATCATTTATTATTAGACATACTGGGCCTGGAACCCATATGCACAGTATTCCGGTGCCTCATCGTAGGGAAATCTTGACTTCTATATTTGGAAGCTAGGAGGCTGTTGGTGCTGTCTCGCACGCGACTCACGAAGGAGACTATTCTTTTGCGTAATATTGTTGCAAAGCTGTCCACGCGTGCCTCGGCAAACATGCTTGATGCGCTGCAACATCTTGGCAGCCCCAACAACATCCTGAATCCATTGTTGTATTGTATACGCAGCGCCTTGAGAGTTCGGCGAGTACATTTTATCCACAGATTGCAGGTGTAGAATGTCTGACAGTAAGCTTTGAATAATGTTATCTTAACTTCATTCGTACACCTAGCAAACCTGCGGGCAAGCATGTTACACCTCACTCCCAACCCTCTACGTTCTCGTTCAACATCACACTCGTCAGAGAGATCCTCGGCGACCCAGTGTCCAGATATCTGAATTTGGTGACTCTACTCAGTATAACTCCTCCAAGTCTAACATGAGGAACAGACTAAGGTTTTTTATATCCATCCATAAAAACCAGTAGTTCGCTCTTTTTAGAATTATATCTGAGACCATGAGCCGCCACGTACCTTTCACAGATGCCCACTAGCGTATTGATGGGCTCAGCAAAACTATGACGTCGGCGTAGCTCATATTATTAACAAAATTACCGTCGATTAAGCAGCCGATTTCGGCATCACTGAGCTCAACGATCAGACCGTTGACGTACAGGTTGAAGAGTTGAGGGGAGCTAAGGCCGCCTTACCTCACCCCGCACTCAAACCTGTACTCTGACGAATATGAGCCAGCCCACTTCACAGAGTTGGTTTGGTTGTGATACCAATATTTGAAAAGGTTAATCACTTCCTTGGGTGTGCTAGTTTACTGGTTAAGCTTATCCCATAAAACGTTGTACGAAACCTGGTCAAACGAGTCAAAAAACACGCATAAATCGGCGTTTTTCGCGCAGGGTAATACTGGACAGTATGCTTGAGTCGCAGTAGGTATGGCAGTTTCAGTTGAAAGCCCCGACCTGAAACCAAACAGAGCCTCATGTAGGTAAATG